ATTTCAAAGTAGCACTATTTCTACATCTATGTTCAGAAAGACTTTGCCAGCGATTCAGCTCATGACTACCCAAGGCAATGTAAGTGGTCGCATCTTCTATCGGTAAGGAGGGAGATAAAGACTCTCTACATTGCATTGGAATTGATGGTGAGCACCCAGGGAACATGGCATAAGAAAAGAGAAAAAGAAACTTCAAGCGTGAAACACCAGTATCTCTCCGAAGTTATACTTACAGATGAGGAATTAATGTCATGCTGATATCGTGTTATGAGATTTTATGTCTTTAGGCAAATCTTAAGCTATTCAGGGACTCCAAAAAAATTCTTTGATACAGCAGACATAACCTGATCTGAAGGTCACAGAGCAAAGGGGAAAGCTCCTAGAGATTTCAGTAAGCTTGAGAATACTTCTATTTCCCTCAGCTTCTCCACTCAAAACCAAAACAAAACCAACCAACCAAAAAAAGGCCAGTACATCTAAAACTCATAAGTAACTCAGAGTCAGCACAGGAACAGAACTATCAACTTTTAAATATCTTTTGTTTTTAGATATGACATAGGATTGGCCAGAGAAGAGAGGAGGGAATGGAATGATAATTCTGTAACAATAATTTTGGATAATTTTGGACTAAGTGTGATTTCAAACTGACAGCTGGCTGACTTGCAACAAGCTCAAGCAACTGTAAGCATCTAAGAAAGCAAATTCAGTAGGAAAACCCCTCTGCCCCAGAAAAGATTTCTGAATATCACAGGATACAAATAAAATCTTAATACAAGCTCGTCGGGTACGGGTTGAAGACTTACTGAAGATGAGTCAGTCAAAAACCCACAGCAAAACAAAATACCTACCCCATGGTTTTAGCAGTGTCAGAAGCTTCTTGACTTAAGAGAGTTAAGGTCAAATTTGTGCTTTATGTCTTTCTAAATCTACCACTACTAAACTACTTTCTAAATCCACAACACATTTACATTAATCTCAAAACAACTCAGGATGGAACCTTCCTAACATAACAGGAACAAAAATCAGAACGAGGTGATGAGCCCCGACTTCAGAACAGCAGTTCTGCGAACTCAAGTACAGTTCATTTTTTACTGCCTAAAGCTGAAGCTGTTTTCTGGCAAAATTACGACCGTGCTACTCCTCAGCAAAGAGACAGATCCTCCCTGACACCGAGTACCTCAAAACTGCTGTCCATCCCTCAAACTACTGTGCAAATCAAGAGGCAAAGCACTCAACCCCTCCCATGGTTGGCCTCAGCCACTTCCTCTTTAAAAACAGATTCTGAAAAGTCTACTTTGAAAATAAACCTTTAGAAAACCAGCTGATTTTTTTTTTTTTTTTAATTGCAAGAAGTCTGCAAAGGCACCACTAGGTACCACATTATCCCATAAAGATGTCAGCTTTTTAGTGATTGCAGCTCTAAAGAGAAGGAACAAACAATAGAGCACTTCCTTATATGTACACCAGCTCTGCGCTGGTGACGGAGACCATTTCCCCAAATGGGCAAAAAATTGAAGCAGCTCCACTGTGGTTTTTGAAAGAGAACTGCTTTACAGCACACATCCCACTGCGATCCAAATGAAGCTAAAGCTTACAGTGATACCTACAAGGCTTCCCAGTATTAGCATCAGCATGTTGCACCATTTACTTAGTTTATAAGGATATTTTCACAGTACAGCTTTCTGCAGCACAGTAAGCTTCCTACCCTGACTCTGCTGAACTGAACTGACAAAACCTTTGTGCCAAACTGCACTTTGTGTCGACACTTAAACATCTCCCTGTGATTGTCAGCTGCTGGTAATTTAGAGGCTCAGTATGAACACAGGAAGGGCGCTCAGGGGCCCTTGTCCACTCTCCTTTGACTCCTGCATAGACTGTGACCACTGCAGAGATTGAACACAGCCTTTTGCTCCATGTTCCTACACCAAAAAAGGAGATGGGAAGAAACAAAGCTAAACACCCTGCTCTCTCCAAGAGCAACCACCAGACCGGCTGGCTGCAAAGATGATCAAGCCCATAGTGGCCGCAAAAGCGGCACAGAAGGCACGTGCCTTCTGCATATCGAACCTGAGCTGGTCCTCCAGGAGGAGTCTGGACCTCGGTGCAAGATACCCATACTGCACATCCAGCCCTGCCCCTAAGCACACACCCGAGGCCCTTTGCAAAACAGTCCTGGAGAAATAAGGAGGAAAATAACTCTTAATTTGCTTCTCTGCCACTATTCTGGTTACTTAATCCTAGCTAATTGTAGGACCAAGAGTTATCCCTTAGGCAAGGCCATGTTAAGTGCTTGTTGCTGGCAGCTGTGTCACAGAATTTCCTGCTGCAGTTGTCAAAGGCTACAATGACTGAAAGCTGGAGAGATGAGAGCATTTCAGAGCCTCATACAGCTTAGCATTAGGTGCATTAGGGAATTGCATCTATATATTCTTTGGATTGCATGCGTCATTGTGATCACTGCAGAATTTTAACTCCATTACTCTATAATGCATGACGCAAAAAATAGCTCTAGTGTGTGCTCATAATTGCAGGTACAAGCTAAAGTAGCCAAGGTGACAACCTCAAGCCAAAGAAATGAGGGGAACTGATCCCATTGCTTGAAGAGCACCTTGTTCCATCAAAGTGAATAGCACTGGCTCTGAACACAGCCAAACTGTCTGCTTTCCGGGCCAGACAGATTTTTGGGTACTTTTGGGAGTAGGAATGCAGCAGCCAAGCCATAAGGGGCAAGAGAAATCAGAACTGCTGCAATAGGAGGAGGTAAAGTCATCATATTGCTTCATTTGAAGCCGAGCAGTTTCTGCATCTCCCTGGAGCGAGTCCCCAGCAGCAGCGCTTGGTTAAACAATATCCTATTTTGCACTTGGGAGTTATGTAAGAGCGGTCCCAGTCACACGGGCAGAGGGAAGCAAAGAAAGAGCATTATTCACAGCCTGACATGGATGAACCCAGTTTAACACATGCACTTGGAAAACACTGTTCTCTCTGTTCAGTAATATTAGTTCACATTCCACTCGTTTTGATAACCTTTTCCTTCTCCATCTATGCTGCTGACTGACTGGAAAGTCGACTAATGCCTTCTCCCAAGATTAGCCAACACACATAACTGCAACAGATTTATTTTTTTCCTTTCAAGATACCACTGAGCCTCATTTGGTAATAAATAATTTACAAATACATACAATAATAAGCTAGAGAAACTTTGAAGAGAAGCCCCTCTGCTTCATTTTACAGGGAAAGAGCACCAGAGTAGGAATTGCTTCCCAAAATTTACTTAACACTATCAGATTGATACACCACTAATATATAGCCTTTCACTCTGACCTGAAAAGGCCACCCTTAGAAAGGGATGTAGAAGGAAGAAGCTTCAGCCCTCTATTTCAAATAGTAAGTCACATCTCTGTATCCCTTTGACACGGCCTCAGCTTTGAAAAATATCTAGGGCAAGTCCTAATTTTATCTATAAAAAAAATGTATTCTAAAATCACTTTATACAGATAAAGCAGAGATGATTCTCCTCTGTCAGAAAAGCCCACATGTGGTGTTAATCTTCAACAATCCTGTACATGCATTCATCTGTAAAGTGCCCTGGCAAATCCAGAAGACAACAAAGGATCAAATCTGCATGGTGAATTTACAACTAATAACCAAGCAAATTACAAGACCACAGAGATATTTTTCTCTTTGATATGCAATAGCACTTCAGGGAAATTTTCTGAGCTTCTTTTTCATTTACTGTCCTCATTTCTAATAGCATCCTTGATGCTATCTGCTATGCAACCTCCATGATGCTCAGCATACTAGAAACATCTTAAGATCCCACAGTTGTAAAGAAAAATTTGTATACGAGAGCTTCCCGGGATTGAATCAACTGAGAACAGAATGAAGCAGACCTCTTGAGGAGCAAAAGCTACATTTTACAAGGGCTATCTTGGACTAGAAAAGATTCCTTACCTATAATTCAGTTTCCTTTCCTGTCCCTGTAACAAAATGTTTGGTGTATTTTCAGCTTCCCACCCCTTCTTTTTTTTGTTGCCCCCCCCCCCTTTTTTTTTTTAAAAAAAGAAACAAACCTTTTCAAATATTCTGGCTACTTTCTATCTACATGAATCAAACTCAAGGAAGACAAAAAACTGCCCTTATGCATTGTAATATGGCATTTTTGATCTACATTTCTGCATCCTCTGAGCAGATGTGCAACACCAAAAAGAGAAGCAATTTAAACATGCTTTCTCTCTCTCCATTGCTTCCTTAAGTTACAGGTACATCACTGGACTTGGACATTTAAACTATAAGCATCCTTCTGTACATCCAATTTTGAATCAAACTGAAGAAACAAAATATTTCAAGTTGGATATGCTGAAAGAGAAATGTGTGTTTAAAATTAAGCATCAGTTCAAAAGCTTCACTGAATGGGGTTCAATGTATAAAAGCCACGAATGACTCTGCAACCAGACAGCAACTGAGATATGAAAATAAAAGCTACGCGCCATCTGTGACAAGCATGGTTTCCAGGATTCTGCATAACATAAAAAGCTGTAAACCTAGGACCATGAACAACAATCCGGGTAATACTTCATTGCAACCAATGACATCAGGACATCTTGAAAGTGTTGCTCAAAAGGCAGAAAGTTTAGCTCTACCTGAATCACAGAGCGACCAACAACGTGTGGTAACTGCAAGCACCCCTCAGGGAGCCCTCACAAGCTTGACTGTCACAGAATCTGGGGTGTTAGTTAAAACTGATTTTGCATAAGCTCATTTGGGGCCATGTCAGCTATGTTAAACTCAGATATCACCTTCCTGAAGAAAACTGACTGTATCTGTTTAGAATTTTTATGCAAATATAGGTCTCTGCAGAGATCTCCCTATTTTTAATTAACCTACAGACTGACTTAAGTGAGGCATTAAGCCTCAGAAGGTTTATCCTACCAATGGGATTGAGGAACTAAACCCATCACATCCATGTTTACAAACAGTCTCTCCACCCTCTGGCTCACCTTTTCAACATCTGCTTTTGTAACATTGATGTCAGCATCCATTTTCTCAAAATACTGCTGCGCTCGATCAGCTTCTTTGCAATCACGTTCAAACCGCCTTTTGCTCTGAAAAGGAAAAATGGAAGCCTTCATTACGGGAAACAAACATGATACCAAAATCTACCTAAAACAACACCTGCCCCTGAACTGATCTGCTCTAACAACTGTCAGATTTTAGAACTCACTTGTTTACATTGGAATACTTCTCCATACTAAAGCAGTTCAAAAACCAAAGTTACCAGAAACACATTTTTTGTTCCATTCTTCAGGCTGCTTGATTCTACCAACATCACTAGTATTTCAGTATTTTTCCCTGTTGGCATCTCTTCTGCTCTCGTAGACCAAATCACTCCCTTCCAACACTTAACTCCCTCGTTTTTGTAATGCACAAGGGAGTTACTAAGATGCATATATTTGCGAGTAGGACTTTTGGTTACTGATGCCCCCTTTCTTTATCGTTTCCTCTACTTACAATCTCACTTCTCATTCATCACGTGAATGACAATTCCAATGTATTTACTTTTGAGAAATGGCACCTTACTCAAGAGATGTTCCCATTCAATTTATTCATGCAATATGAAGCTATTCAGCTTAGAGTGGAGTATCTGAATAGGACCCTCAGGGACTCTGCATTTCCAGCAACGGTTAGCACACTTTTCAAGTCATATCAAATAAAATGCTACTCATGATCAACACAGATCCCACAGAAAGCCAAGTGTACTATTAAACCAGACTTTTTTGTGTCTACCAGCGTATTTAAGACAGCACAGTTTTAAAAATCCCACTTCTACGGCTTTTATCCATACACCATTCTTTTTCCAAATACAATGTTTGGAACAGTGTCTGTGAAAACAGTATAAAAATGACTTAAATGTCACATCTGAGGAAGTTTCCACTTACTGCTTCAAGTTGTTTCCAGCAAGTTTCAATATGTTGTTGTGCCTTTCTACCATCATGGAAGTGCTGTTTAGAAAAAGAAAAGAGAAAAAGAAAACATTTTGAACAACAAAAGAACAAACAGTCAATTATGCTCAAGGAGTTCAAGGGAAAAAAAAAAGAAAAAACCAAAACCAAAACAGAAATGATTCTGACAGCTGTGTTCTGCAACACTGATAAATCGAGCAGGTGTGTGATGACTATCTAATGTCTCAGCAGGCTGCAGATGTATATTTGCATCAATTATAATGGTTAGTTAGACTAAGGCTAATTAATCCCTTTAGCAATTCTACCTTGTATTGTTCACTGTATTTCATAATTATTGGTTTCCCATACCAAGAAATCTGAAGCACTTTTATCTGAAGAGTATTTCTTTGGTTACTGACTGAACACTAGCTCCAAATTAAAATTTCTCTCTACATGGAATTTACCAAGATGCCCTTGATTGGCACATTCTAACAACTGGTATTTGTCCTGATTTTCATTCAGACTCAACATAAAACCCTTTTCTTCCTAGTTACTGGCTGCGTGTGCAAGGCCAGCTGTTCATTCTCGAGAGGTATTCAATTCTTTGGGTCCCTCCAGAAACCCTCCTCTCCCACACACTGGGGGTGTGCGCGCGTGTGTGCACACAAAAAGGTGTTACAGAAGTTTTAAATATGAGATATCAGCTACGTACTAAATGAAAAGGAACTTCTCCTGACATGCCTTTTGGAGCAAGACTCTTAATTCTAGTTGGTTTAAATAACCGTTCTTAGCCCTTACACAACGCTCATCACCAGAGAATCTAATATGCTTTAGATGTTACACACTCTATCTTCCATACACCTCACTTTTCCTCAGGATAAGCAATTCGTTCGAGATCACTGCATAAGTCAATGACCCAGCTCCAAACAGGGAAGGCAGCCCCCAACTGACTGCTAGAACAGGTTGCTTACCTTACAAACCACCTTGTAAAATAAATAATACAGCAAGCTACAAATAGGAAGAGAGATGCCTTTCTGCTGTATTATTTACTGGCAAATAGGATGTTTTACCCTAGTACAGGTATGGTTTCATGCAGTAAACTTGAAAAATAAAGGTCTGATATTGCCAGATAATCCCACTGCAACTCACTAGAATTAATGTATTCTCAGGCCCATGCATAATCAGACACTAGATAAATCTTAAGCAACATGATATCAACAGTCTGTCAGGGTAGAAAAGCTCCGGCTTCAGAACAGGAGCCTGCCACAAACTGCCAAAGTTAGAAAAATGTGCCTGCAAGCACTTTATAATCGGCAGCTACTTGGTTTCCTACATCTTCCACTAAAGCAACTGGTATTTTCCTCTGTCAGAGGCAGGTTTCTGGAGCAAACGTGCTAGTGACACTTCCTAGCTGCCTTTCTGGCTCCACCAGACATGCCAGTAAAAAAACCCCAAAACTGCAATTCTCTGTCACACCACATCCAACAGACTTGTATTGCCTTAAAAATCACAACCTTCAACTTGCCTGCAAGAACAGAACACCACCACACTATCCTGAATGCTCTGGATACTATTACCTATAGTCCCAAACACTGGCTGTTAAAGAGGGATGCTCACCTATTGTACATAGGGATACTCTATAGCTTTAACTCTATAGCTTTAACTTTCTGGACAGTGTTTATCTCTGCACAAAAATTCTCAAAGGAGAGAAGAGAGGCACAATGTCAGTAATGTTTTTAATCCTGGGCATGTGCCATTCTCAGCTCTGGCTCTACTCCTGCCTACCGAGGCGCGAGAGCGTGCAGCAGCCGGGCCATCGAAGGGAGCGCAGCTGACAGCCTGGCACTGCCGCGCCTGGGGAGAGACACCTTTGCCATGAACCCTGATGGTGCTTGTGCAGTTCAGACCCCCGCCTACCATGCTAGGCTTCTCCAAAAACTCAGTCACCACGTTATGACATTAAAAAACCCCACACATAACTGTAAAACTGCTGGGGTGGTTGGGAAAGGCTCCAAGTGGATCTCAGTTCCTTTTGTAGATCCTCATTTCCTTTCAACTCTGCATGTGACAGATACCACATCTTCCTTGAAACGCTCCTCACTTCAGGCTTGCTTTTGTAATTAGAGTTTAGGAAAACAGTCCCAAGGAACAACTGTAATTTAACACCACATTTTTCAACATTTTGCTAGTGAGCATAGAATTCGTGAAAGTCTCTTAACAGTGAAGCCGCAAGTAAAATTACTTGTCTGCCTTCGTACTGCGTTTCCTGCCTCCATCAGCCTTTGCTTGCGTGCTCCCCTCTTCGCTGGCTCTGATTTTGCTGGAGCGTAGGAAGGGACTTGATTTGGGAACAGCTGGCCTGCATGAAACCTAATACTGTCAATGACCCATAAACCTTAGGAAAACAACATGCCAGGTTAATTTAACAGAACACAATTGTATATAGGGGCTGAAGGATGAACTTGGAATCAAAAGCATATCAGATAACAGGACTACCCTGAGCGCACATTTTTAAGCCACTTTGCAGTTAATCAGTAATGTAACTTTAATTTTGCACAAGCCATACCTGTTATTTCCAAATTTACCTTCTCTGTAAAATAAACTCTACAGGGTCCTACAAGTACACACGAGAAGCAGTAAGCGTGAGCGGTATGGTATGGCTGCATCTTTCTGTATTTTGCCTTTTTTTTTTTTTTTTTTGAGCAGCTCTTTTACAGAAATGGAGCACCAAGATGTAAAATGGGCATTACTGAAGATTATTAAATAGTGAAACCAAGGAACCAATGTCAAGTAACAATCTGATAAATACAGGTGCACTACATTTTGGAGATTTCAGTGCAATATTGCCTTTTTTAGTTCAAACATTTTCTAAATATATTTATAACCCCCAATTCTTGTTGTGTTATCCCATATATATCCTTGTTATGGGAGATAAAACTACACATGATAACAGATGCAATATGTATTGAGAGCACTTCTGCTTTTGTAAATCTTTTGCCCTCAAAGGATGATTTCTGCCTTCTGAAAATTCATTTTTGTATAAAGCAACTTAAGTGTGACCTTCAAACTAGTTGTGTATTTCTTCACTGCCTCCATTTTATGGGTAAGAAAAATCGAAACCGTATGGTTAAGTGATCTGCTCAAAGTCATACAAGAAGCCTCCAGTTTCCTCAAACCCTGTACTACCTTCAACTTCTGCAAACTCATTTCCTTTACAATCTTCTTTAACAGCAAATGTCTTGTAGCTTTTTCCCCCCAAAAGATTCAGCAAAAATAACTTTAAGATCAACTCTTCCTTGATAAGATTTCAAGATAGAAGTTCCAATTTAAATCAAATAATTGGTTATTCTACACCTGATGGTTCAGCAAATAGGAACATGACAAATGATTTAGCAAATCATATGGAAAACCACCATTCTTAATTAGTCACCACATTTCAGCAGCACACAGTGATGAATTTAGAGTAGTTGATACAATATAGAATACTACTTTTTTTTTTCTCCCCAAGCTGAATGTCCATACTAATGCACCTTAATCAGGCTTTCTATTTAAAAAACTCAGATTACGAGCAAGATACCAAATTAACGAATCACACTTCAAGCATGCCATTAAGACATTTGCAGCAGCAGTGTTGGTTGTTCACATGCCACGATTTCCTCCAGACTTTTCTGCCACATCCACAGCATTTGAAGCACACATTAAAAACATGGTAAAGTGACAGTTTTGTTTTTATTAGTGTTCACTACCCGACCTCCCTAAATCACCTTTATCTATACTTATGGGTCTTAGGCTAGTAGTCACCATGCCAACTTTAACATTTCCCTGAGAAATATTTTATCCAACCATTAGACCTACTCAATAGCTTAAAACATAGCAGCATTACCCAAACTCAAACCATACTGGCTACATGATCACGACTGTCCATTTTTCCTGTGTGTTATAGCACAATGCAGTTAGGATGTCACAGGGTGCTCTGAACAATCCATACTTGGCCGTGTTTTTTGACTGGATGCCTCCATCCATTCTACACTCACAGGGTAAGACCCAATAATCTAGGTTTCAGGTGATCTCACAAGAGTTGTTAAGACTTGAGAGCTTTTCAGCACAGCATTAAGTTGCTTCTGTGAAGACTGTGGATTAGATCAACTTTTTTTAAAAAGAGCATTCATTATATTCTAAAACCTCCCAGCTCAAGGAATACTCAGCTACAGTAAAGAAAGAAGAGTTTTAGGAAGAGCAGGAAATCCACATACACACACACTGTACGCGTGAGTTTTTTGCTTTTTAAATCAAGTCATACCAATCGGTGTGCTCTCCTCATTACCATGCTGACTGTGTTCGTAACAGCTGGGGAGAAATTCTGGCTGCTGCACAATCAAAGACAAAACTCTCATTGACTTTTGTTAGGCTCAGATTTCAGCCATGTTGATCAAAACACTGGGTGCAGCGACCGAGCTACCTACAATACAGCGCCTGCTACTGCCAACACCATTAAAATAAGTAGCAGTGGGATATTTTTGCAAAACTTTCTTGGTATGCAAGAGGGTTTACATAGCCACACAGCTCTCAGAGCAGACAACAAATGCGTGTTAGAAGATGCCTCTTATCTTCTTCCTTACCTTTTGAGAAGAGTAGTAGAAAAGCAAGACGTAGTTAAAAGCACCTTATGAAGGACAATGCAGTCCAATAATTTTGCGGAAGAATTCCTGTGCAGTTTTAAATTAACAAATTGCCTGACTACCAGCATGACAACAGGGCTGCTTATGCTGTATCAAAACCTGACCATGTGAAATACTTTAAGAAAGGTTGTAACAAGACAGCCTTGTTTTTCTTAAGGAAGTAAACAGCAATTGATTACATGGTTAAACTTAAGATTTGCACATCTACAGTCTGTTTATATTAGAAATAGTCAGAAAAATAGTCTTAGTTAATTTATATGCATAGCATATGGTTCATTTGACAACATCCTACTTAAGAATTTTCAAAAGAGAGATATATGACAAGGCTGCTTCATTCTCTTTTCTGTTTTCAAACTAGATAATACAACACACTGAAAAAAC